TTCTTTTTGCGGATACAGACTAACACGGCTGTTACTCTGAAACCGTTCAAAAGGAATGTGTATCCCTTACTACGCTAAAGTGTCTAGCCTCACATCGTTGGGCAATACGAACACCCATTCAATGACAACATGCACACATGGAGGAGGGAAGTTATGCTGCACCCCTTAAAGTAAGAGGGAGAGAGTTATATTATGTCAGAGGGTAGATGACTCTTTTAAAAGGAGTTGAGCCTAACCCTACCTGTGACTAATTAGCCACCGCCCAGCTGAGGCTGTGAGGCCAGGATTCAGGTGACAGCTTGAAGATCACCTGGTCCTCATAAAAATCAACAAGTAACTCAGGTTAGCTGGAGAGCTGCAGCGAGTAGGAAGGCTCCGGCAGTAGTGCACAGTTCAGGAGAAGAGCCCATTTTTATAAAACTCTCAGGCAGATGGCCTGCAGAGCATAATCTGCAAGGAACAGGCTAGGAAGGAAAAGGGAACAGACAGGCTCGCCCTGACTCCCAGGCAGATGGCCTACAGAGTGTAATCCTGTAGAGAGTAGATAGGCTCCCGAAGATAACCCTTGGTCAAGTGGAAAAGGACACATTTGATACATTTTCTGTTATTTTGAAGTCCTTGAAGAAAAGGGACTGGGCTCAGGGCTTTAGACCTTGGGGGAGTGCTGGGACTCAGGGCTTCAGCCCTGCAGCTCTGCTCCTAGTTTCAGCCGGGGGGGGTGGGGGTGGGAGGGGGGGAGGAAAGAGGGTGCATGATGGGCTGAAACCGGCGCTCCCCTCATAGTTAAGCCCTAAGCCCCTACGCCCCCTGCAGGTCTGAAGCCAGGAAAGGAGCCACAGGGCTGAAGCCCCAATCCCTGGTGCTCCCAAGAATCAGAAGCCCTGACCACCACTCCCTGCCTGGAGCCCTGACCCTCCTCCCCCTGCAGCCTCAAGCCTCGCCCAAAGCCTAAAGACTAAAGCCCCGAGGCAGTGAAGGGGGTGTGGGTGTGTCCGTCTCCATCTCTGTCCCCCACCACTGCTGCTGCAGGATTACTTCCGGTTCCACAGGGTGGCCAGTTGACCAGTATGTCTGTAACTCTGGTGTTTGTATCTTTGAGGTTCTACTGTACTTTGTCCAAATAAGCAAGCTATTATAGTAAGATTAACAGAAAACCTTTAAAATGGCCATAATACATTTCAAAGTATATACTTACACATTCGTAGTCTCCATCCTGTGGTACCTTCCAATCAGAGGAATTTTTTGTCTGGCCAGATGCATTCTTCCCAAAGCTATTGATCTGATTCTCCTTTTCTTTTTGTTCAAAATATTCCAAGAATGATGGTTTGGCTGGCTGCATCGTTTCATCCCTCCCTGGAAATATTTAAAAAATGGTAAAACAATGGTCACTTCTGTAAAAATCGGAAACTAGAGCATTTTATATTACACCAAACAGAATCTGTCTCAAGCAATTAGAGCACTAATAATAATAATAATACTTGGTGCTGACAAAGTACTATCTATTTGAAAAGCACTAGACAAAAAGCTAATCCTCACCCCATTTCTGTGAGAGAGGTATTATCCCTATTTGCCTCGGTTTCCCTATCTGTAAGAGAGGTTAAGAGACCACAAAGCAAGTTGCATCAGAGCCAGAATTAGAAGTCCAGAGGTTCTGATTGTTAGACCTGTGCTGAGTCCATCAGACCAAACTGCTAAGTGACTGAGCTATACGTACTAGAAGCCGCATACAAACTTCAGCCAGCTGGATGCCAGCTTATTTATTCATTACAAAATATGAAAAAAGGATATAAATTAAAGTTCAACAACTAATGAGACCAGAACCAAAATTTGTTTTACAAGTGAGAACATGCTACATTTTCCATTTGACTGTAACAGTACAGAAGGCCAGCTGCCACCACACTCCAAGAAAGCCCCTGTAAGTTCCTTTGTACAAAGGTTACATACCTTGTCCTTGGCTGAAGGCATGGGGAGAGACTATTAATTTTCTAAGGTATGCATGGGGCCGGGGAGAAATGGATTTTAAAATCAACACTTATTCTATCAGATTCTTTTGCTAGGAGATTTCCCTTAGTCAAATACAGGTTCTCCTACTGAGTCACACAAGTGCCTCATCTTTTTGTCATCAAATTTTTCATACTTCAAAAAACTAAGTACATGCCATGCACCTCAAACTCTCCATTACTAAGACCCTCTCAGTTCCATTACACATTCTTTAGAGGAATCACAATCTAAGTAAAAGGAAAGGCAGGGAGAACACTGTGGACTTATGGAGGACATGATGCAGTAGGAGTCCAGTTTTGCCAAGGAAAAGACCAGATGGGCTGTTTCGTTAGATTGGATTAGAAATAAGGACGGTAACATGCCCTGCCTTCCTTCAGCCACAATTACATTTGGATTGTGGTTTAATGTGAACTGTGCAGTGGTGCTGGAACTAGAGGTACTGCCGCACCCCTTGGCTTAAAGTATTAACACCACCAGATATATGGTTTCCATCATCAGCACCCCCACTATAAAAATTCTTACAGCACCCCTAGATCCGTGTACATTTAAGCATGAATTCACCCAACCAATCCCCATCACACCTGTTCATCTTATGTCAAAAGTGGAAGTGTGTGGCCATACATTCAATTAGGACACTGATGCGGTTTGAAACACAGATGATATTTGAGGTATAGATGAGATGGGATCTAGGAGGAGCCCAGCCTTCCTCAGTTGAAGGATCATTAGGATGCCATATGGGGGGTTATGGATCAGGGGAAAAGAGACAAAGTGAACAGACTGTAGCCTCAAAGCACCTCAGGAAAAAAAAATCCAGACGATATAAGAACTGTTAGAAGTAACTGAATATTGAAAGTTTCAATGTGGATTCTTGACAGTATAAAAGGATATCACTGTCAAATTTAAGACTTACCTGCTAGTGCAATTGGTGCAGTTTCAGATGTTGTCTAATATGTATTCAAATTTAAATCTAACTTGTCATGCTGGACATAATGCAGATAATACTTAGTATAGAGTCTCAGCATAAGAATAAAAATATGCTTGTACTGAAGATGTATTGTTGCAGCAAGCTACATCTTAGGATCATGAAAACAAACTGTATTTACAAAGATTACTCACAGCTAAATGCAATATTGCTTTCATTTATGATAAATTGCTGCATATGGTTTTTGTGCACATTACATATGACTTAGTTCTGTAAGGGCAGGCCAACTAACCTATTCTGAATACCGTTTTCAAAAGGGAATGTTATTTCATTGTGATAAAAACACAGTTTTCTACACAATGCAATAAATCTATCATGTCTAAATACATTTTTAGCCATTACAGAGGTCAAGTCTCATATCCATAAAACCCAGCAACTCATAAATTCACTTTCCCACAACAGTTACCCCAGGTCAAGTGCCAGTATAAATGGCACCAAAATTAGCCAAACATAAGCCAGGTCTAGACTGAGTAGTTAAGGGTACACCATCAAGTGCCATACAAGTGAATAAAGTATAATTGCCAAAACTAAAAAAATGGGGCTTAAAATACATAAAATAATCTCAAGTTATTTGCCAAACGTCCATAAGACAATTTCTGGCAAAGAGTTTCACATTTAGGAGATATGCAGACATGAGCTTGTCTAAATTTTCCAAGAGACTGTATGCTATTAATTAGTGCTTTATTTTTGATATCTGGAAATCCATACATGTTTAGTCACAGGATATTATTCTTTAAAGTAAAACTAACATATTATATTGTAGAACTTCATTTCCAGATTTTATCTGATTATTAATAGATATAATGGTTTGAATTCTTGTACCAACTTGATAGTTCAAGGACATCTTGTGTGTTTACAGAAATGTTAAATATAGAGTAAAGTGAACTTCCATAAAGCAATAAGCTATTTTAGCATGATCCTTGGCTTCAGATACTGAAAGAGACAAAGGGGTGGCTGTACAAATAGTATGAAAATATCATTAGAACTCTAGGCATCACTGCATCGGATATCTTGTAGTCTTTCCTGAGCCAGCAAACAGCTGAAGGATGAAAATAAATGCTTACACATCTGCATCATAACAACAGATGTTAAGACAAATTATTTTATTCTACTGCTGGCAATAGTTTCCATTTTTTAAAAGCCTCATTGTACAGAATGAGATCAACAAAGCCACCTTCAGACAGACTGCATGAAGGTCAGAGTCTGGAAACGTGTTTGCAAAGTTAAGAAATACTGTGATATTGGGGATAAATTATTGAAGCAGTATAGAAATCTAATTACCACTGCGGTGACAAAACATTTATTTAGAGAGTGAAGATACTCTATGCATACTCATTCTATGCAACTGTGAGATACTGTTAGAAGCAAGAGGCACGTTATAAATATTATAGTCAATGAATATAGAGGAATGTTTTATGCGGTAGAATTTTGTAGAATAGGCATGAACTCATGTTGGACAGTCCAGGATAGTAACCGAAATGAGGTTTAAGGGGCCTAATGTGAGTAATTCCAATTGAGGACAAGTTGAAGGAGGTTGGGTTACACTAGTATGGGCATATCCAGTGGAGACCCAAGAGTTATATCAGTAGGATGGCTCTTGACGAAAGATGGCTAATGGGGAGACCAAAGACTCTGTACACAGACCGGGTATCAGTGGACTCCAGAGAGACCAATCTGCATGACAGCCTAGAAGAAGGCTACAAGAGTCGCCAACCCCAAATAAGGGAAGTGTCAGGAAAGAAGAGGCAGCAGCATGAACTCATCTGTGTATACACACATACACATACACACACACACACTATACTGGGTCATCTGGATCTACTTTTTTAAAAAAAAATCTATATTCTAATGGACAAATTAGTGCTGAGTGGTTTGAAAAAGTCATTTTTAAATGCTCCTTCACATAGAGTACTACTTGATTTTCATGAGCTTATATACTTACTGAAAGATAATTTTGCTTATATGTAGTTGCTGTGCTGCAGGGATTAATTCAGAAAGTAACCTTAAAAAAAAAACCATCCCCCTCTTCCCAGAACTGTAAAATTTTATTCTTCACCAACTGTCGCTCACAGTAACATCCGTGGGTAGGTGCAGTCAATCACATCACTAGTTAATTCAGTCATGGAAGGGTCCTTTGGTAACTTCAGTGAAAACAAATTACAAATTTCTAACTAAATTTTCTTTCCACACAGAAGAGCAACATAAGGATACAAATAAAAGGCAAATGACAACAAGCAGCTTCTGGGTTAAATTTTGATAACTCTACAATAGTTAAAAGAAAACATGTACTGTACTTCTCATCCACATTATACCAGACACCAGTAGCCATGAAGTCAGCTTTGTCCTTTGAGGGACACAATAACCTTCAGCCTATAATGGCCACCAATTAAGTACATTTGTACAGGATATATTTTTAACCTTAAATATTGATTTACTGGAATAATTTATTAAACTGATTAAGATGTAGATTTACTAATTGACAAGGAAATGATGAACGGAAAAAGACTGTAAAATGACAAATCTAGCACAGCTCTGGGGATTTTTATAAATTTTAATTGCTACTAGAATTTCAGAGTCAGGTTGCTTATTTAGCAAGATTGACAGAAATGCTCCTTGAGAAGGAAAGACAATACACCAAATCAATGTCATTCTGGCATGCTAGATTTATTTTTATAATCCTGACTTACATCAGTACCAGCTTTGCAGAAAGGTCATCTGCTATTAATTCAATACAAAGTTCACCTGTTTAATTCCGTTTAAGGTTTTGATAGAAACCAAAGAAGAAACTAAAAACTAAGTCTGGTTCTGTAAAGAAGGGTGTCAGATACTGGCCACTGCTGGAGAAAGACACCAGACTAGATGGGTCTGTCAATTTATGCCAAGTAGACATTTCCTACTTCCTATTACAGGGTGGTATCAAAATATTATTGTTTAACAGAAGTAAAAGTGGAGAGATAGAGAATCACTACTTGTTATACTGTGGGCATTATGCATGTCAGACTGGAATAACTTCTTATGTAAGCATGTACTTATGACCTTTTTAAAAAGAAAAAAAGAAAGCCTCTTATGGAGATGAATCAATATAGCTCCTCTGGATCTGTTAATGTTCCATCATTTAAATATATAGTCATCATTTTAGGAGCCATATTAATTACAAAATGGAACACAACAGCTCTGTTGGAGCCTTTCCAGTCTATTACATGTTTAGGATATTTATTTAGCACCATAAGTGCTCATAGCACATTATTGTAAAGTGTGCCAAATGAAGAATAAAGATCAGAATCCCTACCCAAAAAGAACTCTGAAAAAAGAAAACGCTCAAATGGGCTGTTGGTATAATTTCTTTGAAAACTGAGAAATATTAATGTTT